ATAAATCCATATCTATGTATATCCAAATCTATGTCTATATCTATATGTGCGTGTGTGATCAAAACTTTGGGATGCATACATTCGAAGCGCACATATACACATATATATGTGCATGGGGAACTCCGTAATCAAGATGCCGCCTAGTGCTTTCTCAAACGTTGTTGCTCCCATATAGAAGCACACATAAATGCATGTTATGCAGTTTACGAAATAAAATGAACCATTAAATGATACCCTAATTTTAATAAGCAATAAGACAAGCATCTGGCCATAAAAGTCCACATAAGACATGGGGAGAAACATAAAAGGAAAAGGGATGTCACTAACCAAACCGCCGTCGTCATCATCATCAAAGTCAGCAGCATTTGCCCCAACATCTTGCATTCCGACTTGATCAGAGAGAGCTGAAACCTGAGATATGCAAGAACTCGAGCCATTGACAAGGAAAATGTGTATGTCCAAGTATAAAAAGACTACTATTATATTTAGGGTATTGTTAATTCACCATTGATATTGCTATCTGCAGCCATTTTTTTCTATTGCCACCAAAAAATGGGCAGAATTGTCGAAAACCTTTGGGTGGAAAACAAAGAGCCAAATCTTTTGAAAATTCCATGCAGGTATGTGGATTCAGATAGCAAAAAAATGGATTCAAATATCAATCTCCTATATATGGGAAAAAGTGCAACCTACCTTGATAGTTCTGCCAGCAATGTCAAGCTGTCCGTTTAAACTTTGAGCAGCTCTTGCATCCTCGAGACGTGCAAACTACAAGTGACCAGCATTGATTAGCCTAAAACTTAGATGAAAGGCTTATTGTTAAAATATATATGTTTACCTGTACAAACCCGAAACCTTTGAAATGCCCTGTCTCTGGATCATGAGGCAATTGTACCAACTCCACATGGCCAAAAGGTTCAAAGACCTGGGCAGGAATTATTGTCATGGCCAAAACTCTCAATCATATAAAAAGCAACTCAGTCATGACAATTTAGGGGCACAACAAACAGCCTGTAGACATTAAACTGTATTGATTCTACAGAATACTAAAGGATCAGTTATTTGTGAATTGTCATAGTTTGACCATAAAATTCACTTTTGTACTTTTGTACACACTTTTGTACACACTTTTGTACTTTTGTCTCTTTAAAGCTCTATCTTGGAGTTATCCTTGAAGTATTTTTTAGTTCATCTTGGGACTTTCAGAGCCCCCCTCACTAGAACAAAACCCATGTCCAAAAACACACACACACACAAAACAACAACAACAAAAAAAATTAAAATTCCTTTATTGAGGGTTCTCTTATGCGAGCGCCCTAGTGCTCCTTAGTAGTGGCATCTCTTTGCTTCCCCTGTCTTTCTGTTTCTGAAAAGAGGAAGCACCTTTGGTACTTGCCTACCTTTTTTGTTCTAGAGAGAACAATGGGGGGGAATTGCAGTTTACTTGCTTCCATGGATTCAGATAATGCGAAGGAGAGATACACGGGATACTTCAATGTGGTTAATGAGGCCATTGGAGAAAAGGGGCAAAGGTGAGATCACTATTTTGGGAAGGGTGGAGGCACCCAAAGTGAACCTGATGCTGGATCTTGCATACAGCACACACAAAATAGTGGTGGTGGCCAAGTAGATGAGTGTGGAGGAGAAGGCCAGAGAAAGGTCGGCAGGGGAAGAGCAAGGGAAGGAGGTGAGAGAGCCATGGTGATGGAGTTGAGGAGAATTGTACCAGCTGTTCCTCTGCTTTGCTAAATTCATGTACATCCCTGCTTAGTCGACAACCATCTCAGCTACTACGAGGATTGTGGCCATCAACAAGGGGGATTTTCCACTCTCTAATATTTTTAGCTGCAACTTTGTGGTGCAGTCCTGGACCAAGGCTTGATTGAGCTGCCATGTGTTATTGTTATTGAAGCAGTTGCTGGTGTTCAGTTTGGCAATGCTCATGATCCCTGGAACCTTGAGAGGAACGGACAATATTCAATCGAATCCTTGTGGATGAAGAAGAACAAGGTAGAGAAGTGGGCTGCGAGGTGAAGCAAACTGGGCAAAAGCAGAAGGCTCCCATTTTGCTATTGCTGGACCCCTATAATTGAGTCTCTCTCTTCTCTCTCCCTATTTCTTTCTTTTTGTGATTACTCTCCTCTCCCCCTCATTCTATATCAAGAAAAAGAAGTACCATTCGCTGCTGTAACGTATTGGAGATAGGCGGAAAACTTTTTAGGGCAATTGCATGTCAGTGTTGTAAGTTAAGGGGAGGGGAGTGGAAGCCCAGGTTCTTGAAGTTCCAGGTACAAGAATCACAGGGAAATCATTGGCAATTGGAATTTCCTGTAAATTTTAGGGCGAGGGGTAAATTTGTCGTTGTCTCACACCTTATGACAATTTTTAGTACGGAAATCTAAAAGTCAATATTTATATTCCCAGTTAGCCACATGTTCACTACCAATATATTACCGTAGTATTGCTAAATGGGTAAATATTTATTTGAAATAAACATTACACATATTTATTTTGTTGTAAAAATCCCAAGATTAAAAGGCGAACATGAATGAAAGAAATAGATAGGAAGTGTGACCCGGAACTGAAAATTTAGTCACTAATGAATTCCAACAAAATTTGAGAAAATGGGGGAGAGATGAACGGAAATTCTTGAAGTGAGGAGTTGCTGATTATAGAGAGTGCAGCAGTCTGAGCACCATGTTTGGTGAGGGATTCAATGACTACGTTAACCTCCCTTTGGATATTGAAGGAAACCTGAAAGGAAGAGGAAAGGTGGGAGATCTCCTCGAAAAGATGCTCCAGTCTCCCAGGGCAGGGGGCCCTCACTTTGATGTAGGAGCAAGGGGACATAGCTCCTACACAAGTGCAACACGCAAGGCAGGCACAGAAAGAGAGAGTTTGGGTATTATTTGGAGCTCTAAATGGGTTTCGATTTAGGAGCCTTGATAAGGTTGGGCCCTTTAAATGACTTCTTTGAAGGAAGGAAAAGAAAGAGATTTAATAAGGTTGGGCCCTTTAAATGAGTTCTTTGAAGGAAGAAAAAGAAAGAGATTTTTCTTTTCTTTTTTTTTCTTTTTCTTTTTTTTTTTTCCTTTCTTTTTCTTTTTTTTCTTTTTTCTTTTTTTTTTCCTTTTCTTTTCTTTTCTTTTTTTTTGGGGGTCTGGGGGGTTTGGGGGTGTGAGTTTGCCATGTTGGTGGTCCTTGATAAGGGAATTGTCATTATTGATGTCACGTGTGATGTTCTTTGAGCTTTCTCATTTCGTCATCCTTCCCTTTAGCTCCTTCCATTCAGCAAGGTTCGCCCCTGGTAATGTTGTCAATATGTTTCAAAAGTCAAACCCATTATTCGTAACATGCAGATGTTATCAAATGAGGGGTGTGGTATGAGGCACTAGGGGGGCCTGATATGTCATGCACCTCGATGCATGCACATCACTTCCTATGAAGACAATAAGTTAAAAAAAAAAAGATCAACAAAAATAAAATTTATAAAAATACAAAGAATAACACGAGTATGTGATTTAGTGACAGTAGGCATTTTAATTTATCATTAGTCACATATAAAGCAATAGAGGCATTTTCTATCTCCATTCTTTTATATAATTAGCATGTCTAATTCAACAATCCAACACATTCATCAAATCTAATAAAAACCAAATGAGTGTGTCAATGTATCATGCACTTAAGGAAGAAAGATTTACGGTATGGTAGCTTATCAAAAAAAACTTGAAAAGAAATTAAAAAACAGCAATATTAGCATATAGCCCCATACTAAGTACTTGGCAAGTAGAACCAAAAACCAAACCTTGAAGACTAAAGCACAATGGCAAAAAAAACAAAAAGATAACTAAATGCATTCCATAGTTATTAAGCGCAGCCCACACCCCACCCCACCCCACCCCCTCCCCTCCCCCTACCCCCTCCCCCTCCCAACCCCCTAACCCCCAAAAACTACCACTCTTCCTCTCGGGGAAAAAGGAACATTTTTCCCTTGCTTGTCCCAAAAACTACCACTCTTCCTCTCGGGGGAAAAAAGAACATTTTTCCCTTGCTTGTTGGCTCTATGTCTGCCCACAAGCAAGTCTGAAATATGCATCTGCACAGGCTTGCGCTGATGCAGTCGCCTATGCAGGCGATGCCCTGCCTAGGGGGCACATCAATTATGCCTACCTAAGGGAACCAAAGCAGATGAGTCTGCATAATGAAATATGCGGTCGCATTTGAAAACTATGGTAGTATGTTTCCGATATTTCGTTTAGCCGTGGAAATTCTCACTTCTGAGACAGCAGCAAATAATGATAACAGAAAATGAAATGCAAAACCATAGAATATTTAGAAATTCTACATGCACAGAATTATACTCACCTGCCGAAGCTGGTCTTCTGTCATGTTGAAATGTAGATTCCCAACATACAATCGTCTAGCACCCCCTGAATAAGGCCCAATAAGGCCACCTTGTCCACCTGCAGGAGTAGGTTGAACAAGATTCTTTTCAGCCTCAGATGGCTTAACCATCACTGGTTGTCCAAATAGCATTTGACCAGAAAGTGCTATTGCCATTGGCACAGACATTGCATCATAAAATTCAATATATCTGCAAAAAGCCATTAAGATTAAATTATCTTCTTGATGCATAATTAAATGCTTTTTAAGCATCGATAGCGATAATATTCCTATAGATGAAAAATAAAATGGATAGGTCAACATTAGCCGCAAACTAAGCATGTCATCACCCACACACATGGAATGACGCAAATGCAATACAAGCACAAAATACTAAACTGCATGCCCAAAAGAGGCACTCACATGCCAGAACCCACATCTTTTTTTAATTAAGCAGATAAAAGATACTCTTTATTCAACAGCCATGAATGCGCAGATGAACTAAAACACTCATGAATCAATAACCAAGTATATTGCAATAACATAGAAGATTAAACTGATATCGTTAACATATAATAAACAATTTTACTGAATCCCTGCAATAGAAAAATGATGAGGCAAGGACCAATAACGAGGTTCCATTACTGAATCCAACTTCTCAAGTATCCTCAGATATTTCACTAAATGAAAGCTAGACATAGCACAGATGGGGCATCATCTCCTGCCACAAGGCTTGCCAACCCAACTCAGATAGTTCTCTGAAGGATATCACCAAGCAAAGTTCAAGGTCCCAACTACTAACAACTCTGGTTTATAACTTAGCTGGAAAAGTACCAGTGAACCTAGCAAAGAGTCTCAGTATTTAGAGCGAAACCACAATTTCCATTAAGTTGATACCTAGGAATGAGCATGGAAGGATCACTACTCATGACTAGAAGTATTTATTTTAATATGCCAATCATGGAACACTTGAGTAAAATGTTTGTCCACTACATTCTTTTAACTTATTCATCTAAAAAACCAGCTATTAGCCCTAATAGCGGTGAGAAGAGATATAGTGCCTTGTGATCTGACTAAGGGTATGGCCCATTGTTCACAAAATCGCCCGATCTAACCGCTAATCGCCCAGTTAGATCAGAACCGGCCAGTGGCCAGTTCCAGTTTTGGGCGGTTAGGGTGATCAACAGGTATTTTACAAAAAAAAAATTAAAAAAATGTATATAAATTCTCAAAAATAAGGAATTTGATTTGTAATGCATTTTTAAATATTCTCTACATTATGGTAAAGATTAAAAAAAAATTGGTCATTAATGCTGATTTTTATATTTTTCCATACTTTTTAGAAAATTTTAAAAATAGCTCTTGGAAAATAAAAAATGGGTTAAAATCCATTTTTTTCATTAATTTTCAACTTCATTTGAATGTGTTTTGCTTTAATCATTCTTTATATGCTTTTCATATTTTAGATTTTTTTTTTTATTTTTGTTCAACCTTTTTTTGACAGCCCGGGACTTGCCTAGTTAGAGCAGTTGAACCGGTTTACCGGTTAGGCCGGTTAAACCACTTTCAGGCCCATGTCAGATTAACTGTTCCGGTTTAATTTTGCGAACACTGGTATGGCCCATGATAGAGTTGAATGGCAGAGCATGATTCGTGTAGACGATCATAAATAGTTGAGATAAGGCTTGGATGATGATGATTATGATGATGATGTAGACACTTAACTAAATATCATGTCACTCTCTTCTCTTTCACCTTTTCTCTCTTGTCCCTTCATTTCTCTCTCTCTCTCTCTCTAATTTTGACAATTTTTACTATTCATGTATTGTTCAAGGTAATATTCATGGTACTGTTCACAGCACTATTCATGACATTGTTCACAGTATCGCCCACGAGTATTGTTCACATGGTATCAAAGCATTGATGTACTTATTGTCTTTCTCTCTTCTTTAAATAAATAGCTACCTCTAAAAACAAAACAAAACAAAAAAAAACACAGCGAGAGGAAAAACACTAATTTTGTTAGTGCTGATTTCGTCAAGAAATAATCCTTTCTGTGTGTGAGGCCAATATGGTAGCCTCTACGTGTTGTGTATGTTCGTTCCATCGAAAGGTTCCTCTCTAGGATGTAAAAAGCTGAACGGGACAAGTGTGAAATGTTACAAGGTGTATTTGCAGAAGTTGTGAATTACTTGTTTTGGGATTTCATCATGAGTTATAGTGGAAAGAGCTTTGTGCATCAGTGTTTAAACAGAAAAGTGTTCTCCTCATAGTTGATTGAGAAGTAACTGTGTGTGCTACCTGCTGTTTTAAGCTTGTGGATCGTTGAATTTATAAATTTCTAGGAAGTTTTTAGGGTGTTTTTTGTGTGACTGAAGTTATACTTTCATAGTTGCTTATTTGAGATTGTTTTGTTCTCATGGCCAAGCAAAGTATACCTGGAATTCCTACTACTGTCAATGACATGATAGGAATTCCAGCAATATCTAAAGATTAAATGGGTCCAATTACCTTTTACGGGCCCAATCCATAAAGGTTTTTCTGGGAGCAAGGGGAAAGATGATGAGTAGCTTAGGGCGAACTCAGATTATGATATGGTTATGGAATAGTATGGAAGCCCATGTGAGATCTGATGTTATGTTCTAGGATACTGTTAAGGAGGTGAGGGGAAGCTGTAAAGGAAATGTACTCCTTCGATAAAAAAATTTCTCGAATTTATCAACTCTATGAGAGCAAGTCTTTTGTAGCAAGGAGATCAAAGCCTTAGTGATTATTATAGTTCTCTCTAAGGTAGGTAGGAAGAGTTGAATTTATCAACCCATAACTAGTGATATGGAACTTCTTAAGAAGCAAAGAGAGGAATTTAGAGTTGCAAAGTTCCTATCTAACCTTAATTCTGAGTATCGTGCTATTCAGGGGCAAATCTTAGTAGTAGTGAACTTCCCTCTCTCAATAATGTATACCCTCACCTTCAACCGGTTACTGTATCTTCTTCTTCATTGACTACTAGCACTGGTGCTGGATCTAGTTTAACCTCCTCCATGGGTAGAGGTGATAGCAAAGGTCATGGTAGTGGAAATAGAGGATGTAGTCGTGATCCAAGGGGAGATCATGGTAAAGGTTGAGGTAGTGGGACGTGCACCCATTGAGGCGAACACATCACATTGCTGAAAAATGTTGGGATAAGTTTAGTAAGCCTGCTTGGGCTAACCAGGTGTCCTATGCTTCTAAAGGTGATGGTGCGCACCCAATTGGCTCCAATGATCAAGACCGAGACTCTAAATTTTGCTGGTGACTTAGTGTTGCTCTCACGGGAGGACAATAATAAGTTAATCAACAATAGCCAAAAACCATCTCTATTCATCCTTCCTCTTCCACTAGTATTTTCACTATACATGTACTTTTGCATTCCTTGCATCACAGAAGGCTTCTCCTTGGGTCATTGATTCAAGAGCCTCTGATCATATGGCTGGTGAGTCCTCTATGTTCATGTCTCTCAGTAAACCAGATGGCAACTACTGTCACTCTAGTTGATGGTTCTTCTTCTAGTGTATCTGGTAAAGGCATTCTTCACTCTCATTATCTTCTATTCTTTATGTTCCAATTTCCATTCAGTTTATTGTCAATCAGTAAATTACCTAAATCACTTCAGTATTAAGTGACTTTCTATCCCTCATATTGTATCTTTCAAGATTTAAAGACGAAGAAGATGATTAGTGGCGTTTGTGAGTTTGATGGGCTCTACAATCTTGATTGTAGCTGCGTGAGTGCTGCTCTACATTCTAGTGTTTCCCCTCTCCAATGGCATTGCAGACTTGATCATCCATCCATCAATAATTTGAAGACGACAGACCCTTCATTAGAGGCAGCATCAACTCCTTGAGTGTGAGGCTTGTGAGTTAAGAAAGCATCATAGGACCTCTTTCCCTTCTAGAAATGATAAACGAGAGTCTTTTCTTTTGTGGTTGTTCATTCAAACATTTGGTATCCTTCTAGAGTTCAGAGTCTATGTGGTTATAGATATTTTTTAATTTGTGTTGACGATTTTCCCAAATGACATGGTTATATTTAATAAAGGACAGATCTAAGGCCTTGCCTATTTTTTCATTGTTCCATAAGGAAATTCAAAGGCAATTTGGAACGAATATTTGGGTTTTTTTCTTTGGGTAATTTAGTGGGGATGACGAACCCCTACCCATTTTTGAAATCGCTAGTGGTTTTTTAATGCGTTAAGTGATAATGGAAGCCTAGACCTTAGCTGGGGCACATAATCATTTAGCCACACATGGCAAACTCTGCATCAAACATCATGTGCACATACTACCCAACTGAATGGGATAGCAAATAGAAAAATTTGTCATATAATAGAGGTAACTGATGCTTTATTGTTAAATATGCACATGCCCAAAACATTTTGGGGAGATGTTGTTTTTGACAGCTTGTTAATCGATAAATTGTATGCCTTCCTCTGTTTTGGATGGAAAATTACTGAGTTTTTTGTTTTGACCTTTGTTTATTGTGCCCCCTAGAGTTTTTGGGTGTGTTTGCTTTGTTCAGGTCTTAGATCTTGAAACAAACAAATTGGATCCCCGAGCTATTTAGTGTATATTTTTAGGATATTCGCGTACCCAAAAAGACTATCAGTGTCATCATCCAGGTTGAAAAGAACTTTGAGTGTGTTGATGTTACCTTTTTTAAAAATATTCCATACGTTTTTTATGAGGGTAATATGCTAGAAATAAATTAAGGACAATCCACACAAGGGGTGAATTCACGACCCATAAATTCTTCTACACCTGTTTACATTCCTATTCCTTTCTTGATTGATAATTCATTATCTCAAGTGTCTCCCTCTACAAAGCATGTCTCTCCTATTACAAGAGTTCCACAGGAACAACCTCTCAATGTACATATGAGAAGGAAATTAAACGAAGGACCAGCACCACCAACTCAAACAACAGACCAATCTTCATCTTTTTCTCCTCATCATGTTCCTGAACCTACTCTTGAAATTGGAAGTATTGCTCTTCGAATAGCACTTCATAAAGGTCAACGATCATGTACAAAACATCTTATTGCTTATTTTGTTACATTGGAAAATTTGTCTCCCTGTTATAAGAATTTTTCTTTAGCATTTCTTCCATTTCCGTAGCTAAACCTATTAGGAAGCTCTTTTGTATGTTGGACGGAAGAAAGCTATGAATGAGGAAA